CCCCCCCACCCGACCCTCCACGCTCGTATTGTCATGGTCAGCATGCTCACGTAAAGGCTAGGCACTTCAAGCGATTTCGCCGTCGCGATTTAATGAAGATAGCGGCGAAAAGGCGACCACTAATCGCTGCCTGCTCGTTTATAGGCATACTGCTTCGCCGATTGGTGCGTTAACACTCTGCACACACATTCTGCGCGGTTTTCTTGCCTTGCTTGAAGGGTACAAAATTCATCTGATTTATCTGACTCCTACATATCTGTCTCGGCTATATTCTCTCCTTATGTAAGTGTGCACGATAGCGGCTAACTAGTGACTATTGCTTAATTGACTATTCATGTGCATCGGCCCTCCTTTCCTTTCTCCCGTCAAAACTGTTCAAAGCAAAAACTTTTGCCATAATCATAAATAGTCATATTTTCCATGAAAAAGATGCACACTGGGAACATCGGAGTAGATTATGTACAACCTTTATTGCATAATCCCAGAGAACTGGAACGATTTGAATGAAACATTTCCTATCTTTGCAATTTGGAGTATCTGTCCTAAATCAACTGTAGATTTCGTGACCACAGATCTATGCCTTGCGACATCTGAAAATCTCAAAGACTTCTTTAGGAGGTGAGAATTGCTGAACAAGGGTTCAAAGTTTTTTGAGAAGATTAGCAAGTGATGTAAAAATAAATCTTCATTGTAGACGTCATACGTCTAGTCACCTCTGCGCGACGTGCGTTAGTGCGCAGAAATAGGATTTCCCAGATGAACCGATGGGGTCCCGCCCTGCAATACCTCACCAGTCTGCAGTACGGTTAAAATTTGAAAACTGGTTGTTTTTATACTTTTATGCTTTTTCTTCCTAGCTTCATACACAGTCTGAGGTTTGATGAGTACGTCGAGCATGCCGTTGTAGAACGGATAGTTGAGATTTATCGCTTTTCTTTCGAGTAAGGGAGGAGATGAGCAATCTTGCAAGATTTTGAACTAAATTGCTATCTTGACTGCAGTTGTTTGTAGTAAGAGTAGAATATCCCCAGGGCCTCAGGGCCTCATCTGGAATTCAAATTTTTGTGCACTAATGCTAACACTGCGAAGGTCACAAAACTTATGTCTGTGATAGTTTCTGGACTTGGTTGTGATGTTTTTAGATTTTTGACAAGCTTGCCTAAAAAGCTTGCCAAAAACCATATGAATTCTCTTCCAACGAAGTCAGAGATCAAGCAAAACTATGCAAATAGAAAGACCTTATACATTCTCGATGGTGCTAAAAAACCAATTTCGACCTAATATATACTATAGATCATTCGATATTCATCGAATTTTTGATAAATATCGAGTCATTGAATCATGACCATCAGATATCCGACGGTCAAGTAGTACTTAAAAAGAAAATGAAAAATCTGTTTTCGAATATATTCGAAAATAGAATTGTGAATATTTACCCAATTTAAGGGCTCAACCGTTGTCCTTATCTATGCGAACGCCAGCGGTTTTCGCGGAATCCATTCAGCGGTATATTTTACACGGTGTACATAGTAAAAACGAAAACAAAAAAGACAACAAACGTGATCACAACTGAAGAGTGATAGACGACAAGTAATTGGAAACAAGCGCCATCAGGTGAAGAAAACAGACGCTGTACTTGATAATTAGATAGAGAGAATATTGAAAATTATGACAGACATCCTGAACATAGAATGACCTTAATTATAAGAGTTTGTATTTAAGATCCTGATTGCAACATTTCAACAGCTTCCAAAATTCTTATCGCCTAACTCTTGATCTCCCCTTTTTGATCGCCGAATTTAGAGTCATTGATGTTATGTGTGAACAGTCCTGGAAAGCAGGGCATGCACTACTCCCTCCAAAAGCTGGACGATGTGGAATGCTCTATAGAAAGCGTGGAATAATCTTGACATGAAATCTTGACAATCATGACACGCCGTTTACCCTAGGTTAAGGGTCTTAAATTTTTGAAAGCGCAGGCTGTTGGGGTCCTCCACCAAGCCAATGCCCACGTCATGGGGCGCGAAACTCGAAAACAAAACAAAAAACAAACAGCGAAACAAAAACTCTGGACTGAGAATTTGGAGGGTGTGCCTTCAAACCCATCTGGCATGGTGGGTACTCAACGAAGCGGGCATATGTGAAGTTCAGCGGAAGATATTTTGAACTATGAGTTTACGCTCTTGTTGGGCCTATGTGAACAGGCGCACCATATCTTGTCTCTTACGGTTCTTCGCTTACGGCTAACACCCGTCACAGACTTCAATTCTAATTCAGCAGGCATGAGCTCGTGCACACTGTTTGCGGTGTGCTTGTTTCAACACGTGAACGAGAGAGCGGTCAGTCTCCCTTTTACTAAAGGCAATCATCCCGAAGCATGTGGAGGTGATTGCCTATATATCTTGCTTTCATATGTCCAGGATATAACGAAAAACGATGGAGAAAGGCGAATCACTTGTATCAGCGTTCCACCACCGCCCATTAGCTTAAAGAAGCTTGCTGGAGCGAAAAGATCAAGAAAATCGCAATGTAAAGGAAGTTTCATCTTTTTAAAAAAGTGGAGCAGTCGTAATGAACTGCACTTCAGTTGTTCCGTTTGTGAATGAGATAGATGTAAATTGAAGATGACTAAGATGGTCAAATAAATGTTCACGAAATGTGTTCTTGTATGCTCATCTTCAACTTCACACCAAGCTGATGCCTGTCATAAAGCTGAAATCCAAGCACTTGTCTTTTTTACAATCATTCAAATTACCTTTTGGTATCATATGATACCAATAAAAACTAGAGGAAATCTTTATAAGGCTTTCTAGGCTTGACGAAGCGACCTCGTCGAAACGTTGGCCAATGAGCAGCTTTTACTTTACTGCTCAGGCGCTCAATCGTCTTTGTTTTGCTACACAAGTGAGATCAAGATTGGTACTGCATTACACTGAAAGACTGCAAAGTCGCCTTTTCTTTCGAAAAGTCGAAGACACAACAGTAACCTATCTGACCAAACACGCCTTGTTGATTACAGAAAAAAGCTTAAAGTTTAAGAAAGACAACAGTTTCGGCTAAAGCGCAGTGATGTAGATGATAGATTTATGGGTCGCTGGTCATTACTGTACTACGGTACCTTTATATTTGGCTTGCAAATTAACTCCGATCAAACACTTTGTCGAAAGGGCCCTTTGAAATACCGGTATCGATGAAGACGCACGATCAGACCGTAAATCACTTAGACAGATGATGGATTTAGAAGCTGCAGATCACTTGTGCGAAAATCTACAGTACTTTAATACTATTTGATAGTACTCTCCGACCAAACAATTTGTTAACTATAGAGGAAAGCCAAAAGCTCTAATGTAATACCAGTTTCAATTGAAACGCAGGATTACAATGCTCACATTGAGAGATGAGTGGTTTGTGGCCACTTATGCCAAAAAACCTACAATGTAGCACTTTTACAGTCTAATGCACAAGTTGACTGAGTGTGGCAAAGAAGATAAAGACGTGCAGGAGATGGACTCATTAAACTTCAGAATAAATTCCAAATGACGCGGGTTGCAAAAGAACTGCCATGATTAGCAGATCGAATAGGTTAGACAATTACCATTACGTAAAAAGTGCACTGACAAGGGAAGGAAGGTTGGTCGAAGTGGCCTTCTGAGATGAAAGCACTGTCATGTAGAGCTTGAAAGCTAATTCCAGATCTACCTCTGCTATCTGCTGCCGGCTTCTGGGCGAGAAGTTATGAGGGTTTTTGTGAGTCAAAAGTCAAATGCAAGATCAGTATAAAATCAGTTGCGACTTTTTCTTTAACGTTTAAATGAGGGAGCGGCGAGTTGGTACACTTGAATCAAGAATATTTACTGCAGCGAGTGACAACTAATCGATTGAGCCCTGGAAAAAAAATGTTGCGACTAATTTTTCATTGATTCTGCATTTAATTTTTTACTCAGAAAAACCTTTGTAACTCCTCGCCCAGAGGCCCGCAGCAAATAGCGAAGGCAGATTTGGAATCAGCGCTTGAAGCTCTACAAGATAATATATATCTTATCCTGAAAGGCCACTTCGACCAACCTTCCTTCCCTTGTGAGAAATGTGTTTGGAAACGTTGACGGTAGACGTGCTTGAGCATTTTATAGTCACATAATCATAATAATAATTATAACGTCATATAGTATGTAGTACCTTGCACACTTTCTTCTGAAACTTAAGGGTACTTTGTTGATTAGAATGTACAATTGGCATGCACTGTGCTGCGAAATAACAAATCAAAAACATTTCAAACAAAGTCAGTTCATTCAGAGTCTATCTGTAGGAAACACTAGAAAGCGTTACTGTTTATCTAGGTGGTACGGGAACTGTTCATACTGTAACTTTTGCCTACTGCACTTCACTGCATCGCGTCCGTGACTTTAACTTTAATTCCCTCGAGAATCAAGCTTACTCCCTGCAACAGATTTCATGCCAATTTTGGAAATGTGGCAAACGATTCCTTCCCTGAACTACCAGCATCCTGTGCATAAGAATTCGCTGCCCTTTGCAATCACTATTCTAGTTCTTTTTCCCTCCTCTTAATGTTAGTTTGAAATCATTATTGGGGTAAATTTTGGTGAAATTTTGAATTTCCAGGTTTTTGCAACAAGACAGACATATTTCACTTAAGTAATTGAAATAACTGAATGTTGAGAGAGATCTGAATTGGTTCAGGCTCAATTTTCAAAGAAAATTTTCAAGCACAAGTTAACCAAAGAAAAGCAACTGGGTTCTCGAAGACATTGCTGTTTTTCCTTTCAGTGTATGGTTTGACGCTGAAAAGAATTTTTAAAAGTCTGTTCAAGTCGGATCAATAGCAATGAGTTTCTATCTACAACACAAATGCAGTCTTTACCTATAAAATTCGGGTACCATATTTATTTTACATTTATTTCGCTCTAGCTAAGCTATAAGTGTTCGGACTTTCGATACCACTATAAAATGTTTATTTAAAATCTGAGTTGTAATTGCGTGAGGGAAATAAAACTTTATTGCAATCGGCCACATCAAAACAAAACAAATTGAGGCAGTTATTATGTACACATTAATATTAGTATCCTGGGGCAGTTCGAGGAATCGGACAATGATCGCATCCACCTAAATGAAGATCTGTTAATAGATGTAAATTCTGGGAAAAATTTGTTTTTGTCTTTTTGGAATGGTTCCAAACTTCTTTTCATATAGGGTAGGAGTTTTACTAAGAAATGGTATTTTTGGTATAAAGCGGGAAAAATGGGTCATTATGATAGCGGAAATTTCTTTTTCGCCCATATCCCTGCTGCATCAAGTGCAAAACAGTTCAATTAAATCAACCACTTCACGCTGTGAACTCATTTTTGTTCACAAATGGGGTTGATGTTGCAAAAAAACAACTAAGCCTACGATCGTGACTGCTAGATGGACTTTCAGTTTCAGGATATTGGATTGATAAGGGGAGAGGAGAAAGTCGACACAGATTGCAAAAGTGCAAGTGTTCCGGCGCATTCCACATCTTTGTCGTCAATCATAAATAAGAACATTCAAGTTTGGTTAGTAGATACCACTTGCAATTTCAATGAAACAAACAATTTTTGAGTTTATTAGGACTACTTGCGTCCTACCGCTTGGACACTCTAGTTGTTGAATCAATCATGTGCTTTACAACATGATCCGCACAATTGGGGACGACCGCAAATACCGAGAAAAAAAGTTGACGGAAATTCTCGATTCAATCAAAAGGTGATTGAGATCTAGGGCACTTCTTATTACCTGGAGAATTAGGTCACATCTGAGCAAAACCATTAAGATAAAGTGGCTGTGAAGATAGTGCTGACAGTCGTTTTTCAGATATAAAGAACATGGAAAAGTCGCACTTGAAGTAGATTATAATCTAAAAATGAAAATCTAACCTTTGGCTCCATCCTGTCCTGGTGGCCCTGGTTCACCAGGTGCTCCGGGATTGCCAGGAGCTCCATCTTGTCCTGGATCTCCTTGAGGTCCTGGGGGTCCGGGTTGTCCGGGACTTCCCGGACGCCCATCTTCTCCAGGAGGACCTGGCGGTCCTTGTTCGCCTGGTAATCCAGGTGGTCCAGGTGGTGAAGGCACAGTGCGTATTTGTCCAGGAGCACCAGGTTTTCCAGGAATACCGTCGTTGCCCGGCTCTCCAACAGGACCCTGAGGGCCGGGAGCTCCTGGAGCTCCAGGTCTTCCATGTGGCCCTTGTTCTCCGGGTGCTCCAGGTGTTCCTGGCGGTCCCTTCGGTCCTGGTTGTCCTGGTGCACCCATAGGCCCTGGCGGGCATTCGAAGCAGAAGTCCTCTGGCCTTGGCGGAACGAAGTCAGCCGGCGCGTCTGGCCCTGGTGCTCCAGGTGCTCCAGGTCGTCCATCGTTTCCAGGTGCTCCATCTTGTCCAGGATTTCCTACAGGCCCTGCTGGTCCCATTCCACAAGAGCAGCACTGGTATGTCTGTCTTTTCTCTCGCGTTTCAATTTTTGCGTCGGATTCAAGCTGAAGTCAGGAATTTTTAGAATAAATATGAGAGTAATCGCACATACTTTTACATATTCTCCTCGTAATGATACAGCTCGCGTTCGGCAAAAATTTATCTCATCTTGTAAGCCAGATTGCACATTTTGCATGTACATACAGAGCATCGGAATCGCTACTATTGCGGTGAGGGTGGCGACAGTTGAAACGGAAACACCAAAGAAAGCAAATTTCTTTACCTGTTCCGCCTCTATAAGTTTCAACTTATCATCCATACCCTAAAATATGAAAACATATTCTTATTCAACATTCTTGTTTTACCGAAAAAATTTTGTTTGTGTGTAGGCTCAAAAGGCAGCGAATGAGTATGATAGCGTAGATCAAGAAAGTCAAAACCAAGCTGGAAAGTCCTCACTAAAAAAGGAGTAAAAGTTATGTTACATGTAGTAGTTTTTGAAAAAGTGGAGTTCTATTGACCAAACGCATGCTAAAAGGTGGAAAGGTGTAGAATTTGAAATGTGTACGAAAGCGATTAAGCAATACAAATTACAATACTGCTTTCGAATTTCTTTGCAAGAAACTTTCATTGAAGTTTAGACAAAAAAGCCATAATCTATGCTGTTTGCAATTTTCATGTGCAGGAAGTGATGAGAAGTTCATGTGAAAGTAGCATGGAATCAGAGCTATTTTAGAAATATCCAACAACTAACTAATCAAACAGATGCTAAAAGATAAGCAGGCGAAATAAATTGATTCGAGATGTCATGATTTGTGAATCTGTAGGGGTTGGTACTCATGATAGTGCACGGTCGCTAAACTAAAAGGATTGATCAACAGCTGAAAGATTGCTTTATGAAGGTTTGCGAAAAATAAAGAGATGTGCGTGCGCGATGTTCTTGGTGATTAACGCGGTGCTGATACCTTGTTGAACGTACGCTTGATCTTTTATAAGGGGGATAGGGGCGTAACGCTCGATCGCCGGTTTTTGCCTTTGACGTTTTTGAACATCTGACCCTGCACCGGATCGGCGCCGGCAGTGCGCCGTCACCACTTGGGTAGCTGGAGTTAAGCCTATTTGGGCTTGAAAGGCAGATCCTTACTATAATATACACTCGATCATTTCAAGCGCGACGGCAGAGTTTTCTGCGTCCCTCCTATCTTTAACCCCAGCGTGACGGAGGGTCCAGTTGCTGAAGGAATCCAGAAAAAGGAATGCGAAAATATAACGGCGCTCAGTGATAGCGAGAGGGGAGGCCAGAAGCCATTATGTCAGCGAGGGATTTGCTTGCACTATGGGTCCCGGGCGGAGCGGATATTTTTCAACATTGAGCTAAACGACTAACATTTGGCACAGGGGTGTATGTGTGAAGGCTGATCACAAAAACATTACATTTCAGAATTGTCGATTATATGCGGTATATAGGTAGTCATTATTCTGGGCGAGAGATTGTTGTTGTGTTTCTGTCACAATGGCTGTCGCAGATGGGGTACGAAGAAAGTTATTGATCGCTTGAGTCACTCTGTACTGTCGCGCGCACATGCAAGAGTATTTTATCACTTAATGGAGCTCACGGCTTTTATTTGACTCTTCATGCGACACATCTTCACAAAACTTCAATCCTGGACTCACAGAGCATGATACTTCGCACAGTAACGCAGAAGGATGAATCACGCTTATACCTCGGCACCATCGCGCCAACATGCGATTAAGCAAAAATTTTCTGGATTCCCTCACCAAAGACTTCCGCGATGAATTGTAAGAATCATTTGAAGGCCTGGTTGAAGTACCGAGCGATTAGGATTTCTGTGCGATGGACGCTAAAGCTAACGTTCTGTGGAGTAGGTCTTCCGCACAAATATCAACAATATATATCTACTAACTCTGCCTTACAGAACAACTATGCTAAGAATTTGACTTCTCCAGCGAAAGACTGAGCGTTCAATTGATTTTGGTCCGGATGGGCGGCAAAAATCGGCGTTCTCCGAAGTGGGGCCACATTTTGAAAGTTTCATTCCCTTTCCCGCTCAGATCCCATATGTAACTACGAAAAACACACCTTTTGGAATATTGCTAGCAATCAAATCTTGTTTTTCTAGCGATAAACTGAGCATTCAGTCAAATTTTCCGAGGGAGTTATAGTTCGTCAGCATCCAGATTCCGTTTTGGTTCCGATTTGTGAAATAGAGCCTCATCTCGAAACTTTTTATCCTTTTTTTCCTAAAAGGTCGGAGAAATCCGCGAAAAACTTGTTTTTTCGAATATTGCTGAACTTTAATAGCGGCGAACCGACCTTTAGTCAGGTATCGAGGGGGGATAGGGTTGCTTTCAGCGGATTTTGGTCCCGAGGGCCGGCGAAAAACGACATTTGTGGATAGGAGTTTCGTTTTGAAATTTTTATTCCCGTTTTTCCTCAAAGTTCGAGAAATTTGCGGAAAACTCGTTTTTTCGAATATTGCTCAACCTTCCTAGCCGCGAACTGAGCCTTTAGTCAGGTATCGAGGGGGGATAGGGTTGCATTCAACGGATTTTGGTCCCGAGGGCAGGCGAAAAGCAATATTTGTGGATCGGAGTTTCGTTTTGAAATTTTTATTCCCCTTTTTCCTCGAAGTTCGAGAAATTTGCGGAAAACTTGTTTTTTCGAATATTGCTCAACCTTCCTAGCCGCGAACTGAGCCTTTAGTCAGGTATCGAGGGGGGATAGGGTTGCATTCAACGGATTTTGGTCCCGAGGGCAGGCGAAAAGCAATATTTGTGGATCGGAGTTTCGTTTTGAAATTTTTATTCCCCTTTTTCCTCAAAGTTCGAGAAATTTGCGGAAAACTCGTTTTTTCGAATATTGCTCAACCTTCCTAGCGGAGAACTGAGCCTTCAGTCAGGTTTAGAGGGGTGACAGGTTGCATTCAGCGGATTCTGGTCCCGAGGGCCGGCGAAAAACAATATTTGTGGATCGGAGTTTCGTTTTGAAATTTGTATTCCCCTTTTTTCCTCAAAGTTCGAAAAATTTGCGTAAAACTCGTTTTTTCGAATATTGCTCAACCTTCCTAGCGGAGAACTGAGCCTTCAGTCAGGTTTAGAGGGGAGATAGGTTGCATTCAGCGGATTTTGGTCCCGAGGGCCGGCGAAAAACAATATTTGTGGATTGGAGTTTCATTTCGAAATTTTTATTCCCCTTTTTCCTCAAAGTTCGAGAGATTTGCGGCTCGTTTTTTCGAATATTGCTCAACCTTCCTAGCGGAGAACTGAGCATTCAGTCAGGTTTAGAGGGGAGATAGGTTGCATTCAGCGGATTCTGGTCCCGAGGGCCGGCGAAAAAGAATATTTGTGGATCGGAGTTTCATTTTGAAATTTTTATTCCCCTTTTTCCTCAAAGTAGGAGAAATTTGCGGAAAACTCGTTTTTTCGAATATTGCTCAACCTTCCTAGCGGAGAACTGAGCCTTCAGTCAGGTTTAGAGGGGAGATAGGTTGCATTCAACGGATTTTGGTCCCGAGGGCAGGCGAAAAACGATATTTGTGGATAAGAGTTTCGTTTTGAAATTTTTATTCCCCTTTTTCCTCAAAGTTCGAAAAATTTGCGGAAAACTCGTTTTTTCGAATATTGCTCAACCTTCCTAGCGGAGAACTGAGCCTTCAGTCAGGTTTAGAGGGGAGATAGGTTGCATTCAGCGGATTCTGGTCCCGAGGGCCGGCGAAAAACAATATTTGTGGATTGGAGTTTCATTTCGAAATTTTTATTCCCCTTTTTCCTCAAAGTTCGAGAAATTTGCGGCTCGTTTTTTCGAATATTGCTCAACCTTCCTAGCGGAGAACTGAGCCTTCAGTCAGGTTTAGAGGGGAGATAGGTTGCATTCAGCGGATTCTGGTCCCGAGGGCCGGCGAAAAAGAATATTTGTGGATCGGAGTTTCATTTTGAAATTTTTATTCCCCTTTTTCCTCAAAGTAGGAGAAATTTGCGGAAAACTCGTTTTTTCGAATATTGCTCAACCTTCCTAGCGGAGAACTGAGCCTTCAGTCAGGTTTAGAGGGGAGATAGGTTGCATTCAGCGGATTCTGGTCCCGAGGGCCGGCGAAAAACAATATTTGTGGATTGGAGTTTCATTTCGAAATTTTTATTCCCCTTTTTCCTCAAAGTTCGAGAAATTTGCGGCTCGTTTTTTCGAATATTGCTCAACCTTCCTAGCGGAGAACTGAGCCTTCAGTCAGGTTTAGAGGGGAGATAGGTTGCATTCAGCGGATTTTGGTCCCGAGGGCCGGCGAAAAAGAATATTTGTGGATCGGAGTTTCATTTTGAAATTTTTATTCCCCTTTTTCCTCAAAGTAGGAGAAATTTGCGGAAAACTCGTTTTTTCGAATATTGCTCAACCTTCCTAGCGGAGAACTGAGCCTTCAGTCAGGTTTAGAGGGGAGATAGGTTGCATTCAACGGATTTTGGTCCCGAGGGCAGGCGAAAAACGATATTTGTGGATAAGAGTTTCGTTTTGAAATTTTTATTCCCCTTTTTCCTCAAAGTTCGAAAAATTTGCGGAAAACTCGTTTTTTCGAATATTGCTCAACCTTCCTAGCGGAGAACTGAGCCTTCAGTCAGGTTTAGAGGGGAGATAGGTTGCATTCAGCGGATTCTGGTCCCGAGGGCCGGCGAAAAACAATATTTGTGGATTGGAGTTTCATTTCGAAATTTTTATTCCCCTTTTTCCTCAAAGTTCGAGAAATTTGCGGCTCGTTTTTTCGAATATTGCTCAACCTTCCTAGCGGAGAACTGAGCCTTCAGTCAGGTTTAGAGGGGAGATAGGTTGCATTCAGCGGATTTTGGTCCCGAGGGCCGGCGAAAAAGAATATTTGTGGATCGGAGTTTCATTTTGAAATTTTTATTCCCCTTTTTCCTCAAAGTAGGAGAAATTTGCGGAAAACTCGTTTTTTCGAATATTGCTCAACCTTCCTAGCGGAGAACTGAGCCTTCAGTCAGGTTTAGAGGGGAGATAGGTTGCATTCAACGGATTTTGGTCCCGAGGGCAGGCGAAAAACGATATTTGTGGATAAGAGTTTCGTTTTGAAATTTTTATTCCCCTTTTTCCTCAAAGTTCGAAAAATTTGCGGAAAACTCGTTTTTTCGAATATTGCTCAACCTTCCTAGCGGAGAACTGAGCCTTCAGTCAGGTTTAGAGGGGAGATAGGTTGCATTCAGCGGATTTTGGTCCCGAGGGCCGGCGAAAAACAATATTTATGGAGTGGAGTTTTGTTTTGAAATTTTTATTTCCCTTTTTCCTCAAAGTACGAGAAATTT